GGGAAAGAGGTTTTTTTTCCCCTCTGTTTCTATCTATGACTAGAATGGGATGATGCAATGAGACTATCTTTTAAATTTCAAAGGGCTAGTCACATACTGAGAATAAATAATGAATTTATGAGTGCAGAAATATTCAAGAAATGCATCAGAAGAGCACATGTTCAAATATACTTCCTTTCTATTTTCTTATTCTCCTTAAATAATCTACCTTCAACGCTCAACTAAAAAAAAAAAACTATTTTGAATACTGCATTTAAATGTAATGCCTATTTGTCATTTAAATGTAATGCACAATTTGATCCAAACTACAGACAGAAAATAATTACTTGCGCATGTAAGAGTGCATTATTTATCGTTTTCTAAACTACAAATAGCATGTAATATTATATCTCAAATTTACAGGTTGGCTGAAAGAAATTATTCTTCAGCAAAGAATAATTATTCCTGAGTTAAGTAAGAAAACCTTATTTTTAGTAGCAAATCAACTTTTAAGAAAAATAAGTCCAAGCAATATTAAAATGGGTTACTAAAACCAAACTTTGCTGATTTGAACAACATTCGTTATTAATTCTCAACTCAAAAACAATCCATTATCCTAATTATCATGCATGTATTTGTCAATGTTTAAAAGGCAATGGTAACATATGCTTTAAAAGCTACGTATGTGTTTAATTCTTAAACTGATATGATTATATTGTGTGGCTGAACTATCTATCACTTCCCAGATTAGGATAATGACATTTGAACGAATGGCAAGCTTATTGAATTAGGAGCACGTAAAGTGAGGTGCACCTAGTTAAGTGTGTACAATTTATGCTTCATCTCAAAACGCAAAGGTCACAGAAAGGCTAGAGATGGTTCTGGATTGTAAAAGGTGAAGTTTGGGTCTAATATCAAACGGTATTACATATGTAAAATATCCCCTAGGGATACCAAAATTTGATGGCAGCTGTGGAAAGATTCATTATTATTTGGATATCCAGATGCTATTCATGATCTTTTATGCTCTATGTTATAAATGTGCCTGGCATTGCCACTTCGGATTGAAGTTGCAAATGAGACTCAAACTCAGATTTTAAGACTATAACAATTTACTACAGTCTTCTAGCCTGATCAAGATGACAGGATGGGTCATGATTTCTAAACTGAGCCTTTTTTTTCTGTCTCAACAGTCTAAAATCCATTCTGAGAACTTCTATTTCCATATTCCCAGTTCCCAAAACTGTTAAATGCTAGATCAGTGATCTCCAATGTTTTCTGCTGACAGTCTATTTCCAGGTTCACCATATTTTTTTTGTAAACCTTTTAAAATTTCTACTTTTTCCAATTAGATTGCTTTCAGTCTCGTCACTCCATAAAGTCAGAATCCCTACTGGACGACTAAATGCCACGTTATCTAGTCACTGCTTCACATAGGCATTTTTGATCAGGTACTCCATCTTCTACCTTCTTCAAGCAGATTGCAAAAATTCTATTACCTTTCACTGTAACCTAAGTTTTTATTTGTTTAGGGACATAAGTTTCTTAACCTTCTGTTCGAGAACTACTGACCTGTTTCTTCAACTTTTTTCTGAAGAACTCATACTTCCGCTTATAGTCCCTGGAGTAAGGCACAGCCTTTTGGGGGGGAAAAAAAAAAAAACCTACTTGAGATACTCTACTAACAATTATTTTTATATAAACATGTTTGGATTTGTGAAACATGCACAACACATTTCAGTTCTGAAGAATATATGTTTTGCTAAGTACTGGGTATACTTCCAATTTATAAATGTATAGACAATTTGAAATCTCTGGAACAAAAGACTGCCTTGCACAACAGACCTGTTCTAATCCGCTCCACAGAATTTATCCTGTTCTTTACTACTTTACTGATGTGACTAAAATCACCGACTGGCCCAGATCAGAGACACCAAAATGCCTTTGGTGACTTACATAATACTCTTTCCTTGCTGTATCATGAGAAACCTGGCTACAAACACCTATTTTCCATGGAGAGAGAAGGTTGTTTACATATGTAGGCTATTAATAAACACAGATATCAGCTGAACACTAAAACCCATCTATAATTATAATGTGTGTCGTCTTTGCAATTAGGCCTGATAATTTTGTGCTTGAGATTAAGTATCAAGGCTAGATAATTATTTTTCATTTGAAAATGAATTTCATTCCTTGTAAAGCCAATTTTCACGTTTTGGAAGCTTACTTCACAAACTGAGCTAGTTTTATTTTGGACACTGTTGTTCAAGATAACAAATAAGTGAAGTTTCTTATATGCTTCAAGTTTCCCCTTCTCCCCACTTGTGAGGAAATTTTTTCTTGTTACTATAGGAACTGTGATTTTGCTTTGTGGCATTTAAAGATCGCTTCCACAGAAAGCTTTCTGAACAGTCTCTAAATAAATGAAAATGCCTCGTTCAAAAATGCTAGAAGTTTTATCCTCTACACCAAGTATCTGATAAATGATGAGACTGCTTGGATTCTATTAACAATATTCTCAAAAAATATATATAAAGCTGCAAAAGGAAAGCTTACTGGTCCAGTTATTGCCACATTCTGTAGTCGAGGATCTTCCCATTGTGTTCTCTTTGTATCTGAAAGGCATCCTCTCATTAGTTCCACTAATTTAGATAATGATTAGTAATATGAAGATGAGTAGTGGGAGAATATTATATTGTACATACTGTGATTTATGTAGAATATTCTTCCATCCGTGTGAGTTCTCTCTTCCCACCCTGGCTATAGAAAGGAGATAAAAACTTTTAATAGAAACTCCTAACCATACTGTTTACATAGAACCCAAAGTGATCTGTGGTTCTAGGGATATTTTGCCCTATCTACTCTCAACACTAGAATTCACAATTAGATATTGTTTGCATGAAAAGAGCAGACTGCATTTTCTAATGCAGAAGTTTTGAGAGCATTAACTTAAGTATTTAAATTACTACATCTGCAAAACAAGTAAAATGCTTTACTTACTGGTAAGGGCCCTAGGTCTACTGGATCTAGGGAAGTCTTTCTCCTCAGATGAGCAGGAATTTTCAATCTTGGATCTTCCTTTGAAAACAAAAGCAAGCAGTATGTTGGGTTTTTTTTTTTTTTTTAATTTTCTTTTTCCAGTGATCATGTAAAAAATACACCTGGTACCAACTAGCTAATTGTTACATATTCCCCAGCCAGGCAGACTCTTGGGGATTCTCAATCCTCTAGTAATCTATAGCCATCTTCTAATGCTCAGAGTTATTTAAATCCTCTTACTTTATTGTAAAAACAAAAACAAACAAAAAAATCCTCATTTAACTTAATTTTAGTGTAATTGAGCCAAATCAATCTTCCCGCACGGTTTCTGGCACACTGTGTGTGTGTGCTTAATTAAAATGATGTAATTCCAGTCTAGAGGAAATGAATATTTATTTTGAATCAATTTTGATGTATTTTTCTATATTTTCCTTTCACCTGACAGTAATCCTGACCTACTCTTTAAATGCTGAAGCCCATTAGCACTGCCTAATGTTGTGCAGCATCACTCAGTGGAAGCACAGTTGTACAATTCCCTCATCCATACTGTAGCTGCACCTGGCCTGCTCTTGGAAGAATTCACATAGCACAGTGTACAATGCAAATTCTGTGATGAACTCAAGATAGTAGATCTCTTGCTGAAGAAATGTTTACAGAAGTGGTTTCTGTTAACAGGGTATATAAGCTATCACAGTTCTACTGTTATGATAGAACTATCATTTAGATGTTTTACATCTCCACAACAGAATCCTTTACATATCAGTGTTTTCCTCCTTCCAAGCACTAAATCCTGTCTGTAAAAGTCAGTGTTCTACCCACCACAGATATTTAAAATGACTTCGCATTTATTGCATATGTTCCTTAAGAGACATGACATAGCTATCTTGGATGAATCCAACAGGCTACTTGAAATACCTCGTTTGCTCACAGCAGACGATAACTTACATTGGAAGATCTCTCTCCTTTGTGCTTGTTTTTTAAAGAAAGAAATTAGCAATGAAATCCTAGCACTAAAGAAATCAATGGAAGCTTGCTGAAAGCAGCAAAATTCTGACTTTAGAGCAACTAGAGTTTTACTCCATGAGAATAGTTTTCCATTACCCATGTAGTAGTTTTGGTATTGTGGTCAATAAAGAACGGTCTCCCATTAGGTGCATGTCGGACTTCCCAGCCTTTAGGGAGAAATCCTTGTTCTGTTTCAGGCTGCTGCTTAGAAGACTGTTGGGATGAATCACTTGATGTTGCCTGTGGTTGCCGTCCTATAGAAACACTTTGGGCAGTTGACAATTGACCTGCTTCTATAGCAATCTGTGACAAAACAGGGGGGGGAAAAAAAAAAAAAAAAGAAACCCCAGTAGAGCAACGTATTTTTTCCTGTTAAGGTATCTGTACTTTTGATTGATGACAGCAGTTTTGTCAAGCAAATACCAAACTGTACACAGATTTGTTTAGTCTAATATAAGCAACATTGACTAGCAATCACTGATTATGCTATAGAAGTTAACAAAAGTTTTTCATGCTTCTCAAAGAGCTATCATGCTCCAGAAGACTTTCCTGATACATTAACAGTTCTGGATGGTTAAATGAGGTTTTAAAGCATTTGTGAATGGCGGCATGTAACCACTGAAATAAAGTTAATGATATTTTCAATTTAAAATTGGAGATTTTTAAGACACATTTTGGAACGAGTCCAAGACAGCAGAAGAATTTGACTATGAGTCTGTGAAGACTAGGCTTTGATTCATGCTTTGAAACTTACATAGCAGTGACACCTTTTTGCATCTGGATCTTAACCTTTCATTTGTGAGACAGTATACAAAAATCAGGAGCCTAGGAGACGACATGTCGACTGACATTTATTTTAAAGCATGAGGACTGAATAAGTCTTTATTTGTTTAGAAAATGGAATTAGACAAGTATAATTTATATTCCACTGTATTGTATATACCCAGAGAATCGACAGAGGCAGAAAACTATTTACTTATTCAGAAACTGAATTATTATTATTTTTAATTTAGAGCAACTTGTCATAAATATTACTATTCCTAACTCAAGCTGCATCCTATCAGATACTTTACGCGGTTCTTTTTCAGCTCATGCCTTTCAAAATTGTATTTCGAAGAGGTCTCTAAACTTTATTATGTGATGCACTTAAAACGTTATATGAATGGAAATAGTAATAGGTACAACACAAAGTACCTGTACAACCGGCTTTATCCAAGTAGTAGTTCTAGAATTGTGATCTATATAATACGACCTTCCTTTTTCATCTTGTCTTTCTTCCCAGCCTGGGGGTAATCCAGAGGAAGTAGGCAGTAACTAAGCATTTGTGATAACAAAAGAAAAAAAATAGTTAATAAAACTATGAAACCCACTCAGAAAAGGCTTTCCACTATCAAATTTTAACAAAGCGTAACCTAGATGGTGTAGATATACGTGTGTGTGTGTATACATACATATATATACACATATACGTATATATGTATGTATGTATACACACACACACACAAAAAGATTTTTTTCTTTTTCCACAAACTGGATAAAACAGAAAAGTAGTATTTAAATCCATATTGAACAGTATGAAGTGACAGAAACAAAAGATTTGTTTTTAATTTTTAATTCAAGCTCCTTGTCTAAAAGAACTGAAAGTGCTGTTAACAAACCTGGACTAGGATTGGCTGATCCAGCCTAGAACTTCTGGTTATAGGCTCATAAAAAATGTCACCATGGAAACATAACGTAAGGATGGTAGAACAGCTTTTAATTGTAAAGCAAGTAGAATGGGAAAATTACTTCTTTCAGCAGGCTATATCCATTAAGCTATTGTTAAACCAAAAACATGAAATTGGAAGATGACAGCTTTACAAGTGAGCTCCAATCCTGCTAGATTTATATAACTGCGATTTTGTCAGGATCGCTGCCAGGAGCAGACGGCTAAATCTCATTTAAATGTCAGCACATAATCCATAGTCAAAATAAAGTTTTACATGAGAAAAAAAAAAATCTTTAAATGTCTCTGCTACATGAGCTTGTGTTTTTTGGAAAATGACATACCACTGGAAGTGCAGGCTGTTCCTCAATTCTGTATGTTTGCAGACTACCTCTTCTGCTGGAATGATTCTTGACATAGTGAAAAGGAATGTCACATTAGTTAGGATTGCAGTTTCGAGGATGGTAGCAAACACTCCATGATGATCACTCTTAAAACTATTACAGTTTTCATCTTGAACAACTTTTCTTTGGTTTTTTTTTTTGAAATATCTTTAATATTACTTTTTGGAAAATACTGTTTTAACACAGCAAGAAACATTAAGCATTGGTTCACAGCATCTGTTATAACTTCAAAATAGAATAACACACAAGCTCAGAGAAGCTCTGAAAATCCTCACAATAAACATTTTGACATTTAAGACATTACAGTTAATAGCAATTAGCTACATTACAACTGGACTTTTAGTACGGAGCTTACTGTGTACCCTGTCAATAGGCTAAAGTCTCTACCAGCTAACAAAATTTTTTAGACAGTAGATTAAGTTAATAATAAGAAGATATGAGAGTCCAAGATATCCAGTTTCTGAGAAGGGCAATTTGATTCCTGGACTTTGTATAAGCCTCTACCTTTCTGGCTAGAGCGATCTTTCAGATATCTCGTCTGCTACAATTAAGCAACTGTACTTCATCTTGCTCCAGAAGTTCCAAGCTGATTTGAAAGATTTGCCCTATCTACTTACCTTTTAGGACATTTCAAAGGAAGAGCATGATCCTATTCTTACAATTTTTTGGAGGGGGTGGGGGAGGTAAAGGGAGGAAAGACTCATTCCATCTCCATCCTGCAAGTAACTTAAGCATCTGCCTCTCTCTCTGCTTAGGCTACTCAAGCAAGCTGAGATGAATGACAGCTTTACCACTACCCTATTCTAAAGGGCAAAGACAGATAAAGGTGGGCAAAGTCTTGTTACTGTTACTTTACTGTTTCCAGCAGCACTGGAGATGACTAGCTACAAACCTAAAAACATAATCAATATACTTTCAACTCACATTTGGAATGGCATTCTCAGCACCACAAAAGCTAAAGGCTTCATGTAAATACCAAAATCTTAAAGATCTGGGTCACCTTATTTCTCTGTATAGGCTTTCCTCAATGGAGACTGGATTTCTCAAGAAATGTATCGGGTAACAAGCCTATTTGTAAAGTTCAGGTTTCACAAGACAGCTGAGCTTTTTTAATTGCTTTGCCGCCACCAAAAAGAGAAGTCTCACTACTGGCTATGTACTCCTGCTGCTTCCCCTTTGCCAATATGGCATTTGTTGTACTGGCAAAGGAGACCAGTGTGCTGTTTCAACTTGCTAAATCAGCAGAAAACAGAGGGCGGGGGCGGAGGGGAGGTAATAGTTTTCTGCTGGGTTAGCAAACCAATAGACTCACTAAGAAGTCAGACAAGTGTCATAGCTGATGACTATGACAGGCTATGAAACCCTTACGAGTGAGACCCCTTCTTTCAATACTATAAAGTCATCAGGTTTACTCAGCCCAATCATAAAACCTCATCCCTATCTAAACTTTATTCACATTGAAAAATGACTTATCTTAGACCTTGTCCAAGTGGGAAGAAAATATCAATACAGCATTATTCCCTTAGAAATACACTTTCAGCATTATCAGACATTTCTTTCAGCTGTACTTTTTAATCAGTATGTTCATACAGCGTTATAACTAGAATAAAAGATAAATTTACACACCAGAATATAGTTAATACAAGTCTGCTTTAGTCTCAGGGAAAAATTTCTGTTCTGTACAAACAAAGCGGGGAAGAATAAAACATTTGCTTAAAGGGGAATTCCATAGTACAAAACCATTCTTAAAATTCTCTACATTTGAGAAGAAGTTAAGAACACAGTTAATGTGGGGTACTGCATCTAATTCTAACAGTAGTAACATTTTGGGTAAAATATTCTAAATATCTCTATGTGTTAGAATGATAAGAAAAATAATTTACAGTGTAGACTGCTGACTGGCCAGTAGCTGAACTTCCAGAAGTACTAAGTCTGGCATTCAGTTCTTCTGCAAGATGAGTCTGAACATCACAGTTACTCTGTGGTAGAGGTATGTGAAGGTTCTGATTGCTGTACATTGTTGCCTCGTCTTCTGTTATAATTTCCCAGCTCTTTAAAAAGAATATAGTGAAAATACTTATTTTAAAAATTAGTTCCAAGTTACAAATATTTAAACCAAGCTTTTTTTTCAACTAGAGGCAAAAATTATTTGCATTTCAGAAACATTTCGATACTGTTTTTACCTCAGGGGAATCCCTGCTGTCTAGATTTTCTGTATCCTCCGATATCTGTCGCCGATGGGCGAATGCATGTTGGGCCTCCAACTGAATGTTACCGATATCTGCAACAGCTACATTGTCCCTATATTAAAAAAAAAAAAAAAAAACTGACAGCAGTACAGTGGTCATTTTTTCTTTCAACAGTAATGGATAAGCTAGGCTAACACCAAAAACATGCATTGTATTTATTCTGGCAGAAGAAGCAGCAGTCATAAGCTATAACACTAACGTACACTGATTAAAAAGAATTAGCATCCATGACAGTAGGAAGCATAAGTCAAACTAAAGAATCAGATAGTTTTTGCAACTCAAATGCTAAAGGACAAAAGCTGAAAAATAATAAGATAGATCATTTCATACAGTCACTGCTAGGAAGGAGAAATTAGTCCTTGAACTGAGAACAGAAAAAAAAAAATTATTTTCCATTACTACAATTACTATCTCTTACAACTGGAACCACGTCCGCATTTGAACATACATCTTCTAGAGAAGAGGAAGAGAACTGTGCAATTAAATTGACCATTAGTCAGTGACCATTATAGATGGGCTTGAAGATTAAAATGGGGAAAGCTCACTAATAAATCCCAACCTCCTTATTTTCTAGCTCTCACTTTCAACATATTTAGAGCGAACTGGCAATTAATGTAAGACCTGAATTTTCAGGCCAAAAGACATACTGAGCAGTTGGTCTTTTCCATTGTGTTCTTCTGAATTCATGATTGACATAGTAGGTCCTGCCGAGGATATCTTGCCTTTCTTCCCAACCTGGAGGCAGTGGAGGAGATTCCTGTTGCTGTTGCTGTGGCTGACTAGCAGCATCTGGTTGGTCCAGTATAATCCACCCAGGCTAAGAGATATAATATTAACTATCTTTAATTAAAATTACCAAAGTTGAAAAAGTGCATCAATTTATTGGGCCATCACTTCTTTAAGGTGCAGTTTCAATGTATCTTAAGCCAACAGACAACAAAATGAACTAAGCTGGAGCTGCTGTGGTCCTACTTTCCTCCACCTGTTTCAGAAGTATAGTCCTAGCAGTTTTTTTGTGCCAGTGTTGGTACTTCTGTGACTGTGCAAGAGCTGATTCAAGAAGCTAAGCTAAAAGAAAAAAAAAAATCACTTTTTCAGAGACAATTTTCAGCCTTCTCAGCTCCTTGAGTTGGAACTTAGTTGCACAAGTAGTAACACTAGTTCAATGAAAGGGTAAAATAATGGAAACCGAAAAGGGAGAAGGCAAGATGGCAACAGCCCTGATTTACATAGTTTGAAATACTGTGGAACCACATTCTAGTGTCACATGAAATCCAATTCTTTTATGGTAATGATGGGAAAATACAATCTGGATATAGTTTTACCTTTGGAATTTATAGCGTTTACTTCTCAAGAGAGAAGAGAACAAGTGATGCATGCAAAAAATCTTTTTAATTCAAGGTCGTTAAGCATATTTAGCATAGAATGTTATTTACTCTAGTTCAAAAGTATGAACAGTAGATTATTTTTTTAAAGTTCATTCTATTAAATTAATTTCATATATTCACTGTAAGTATATTAGTCTGATGAGCTTACTATTTTGTAACAAAGTTAAATACAGCAAAAGTGATAAAACTGACAGAGTTGTTTAAGGTGCTGAAAAAAGATCAATTGATCTAAATTGGATGTGTTTACTAAAGATTACAAATGTAAGATACTCCTATTAATTGGAGAAAACTGAAATTCTAAAAGCAGCAAAGAGTCAGTGTCTGACTGGCAGAGTTTAGCCATGTTAAAAAGCAGGAAAAACACTGGGAAATGATATTTCCATTAATTCTAAACCCCTAAAAAGTTACATATAAACAATTGGTTTTTAACCTGTTTCTTTCCATCTTCTTGTTTACGCATTATAAAAAATGCATTAAAAAAATTCTGGAGTAACACTTTTCTAACTAAAGGACAGGCTTTCCAAAAATAACTTAAAAAAGAAACTGTGCATTAGGCCTTTGGTTTTGTTTTGATACTGACTTGCCATATTTCTAAAAAACTGTTTACAGATTAGTGATTTCTAACACTCATCTTTATGTTAACAACCTTTAATAGTTGAACACCAAGTATTTCCTAGGTTTCTCAGCAATAAATACATCTTTTCCCACCTCCAATTCTTCAGCCTGTTCTGTGGTTTCTTCTTCAGATCCGTTGTTCTTAGGTAAGTAAGTCATTTTTAATCTAAGGTGTCCTTTAACTCTTGATTTATGGCTGCAGAAGAGAAAACAAAATGTAGTTATCGTAAACATGTGAAAGATACCCGATTGTTTTTAGCTAAACCAGCAATTCTTTCTAGAAATATATAACTTAGTGTCCACCTGAAATATTTACAGAAGGTATTACAAGCTAACAAATAACAGAATTTAAATATATTGTGAGACCTTGGGCTTTATGTTTTCAAGATCAAGTGGCTTCAAAATAACATTGAAATTTTTTAATACATGAAAAACTGACCTAAAGACTCAGTTGCTTAATTAGGAATCCTGCTTAGTTGTACTAATAAACAGCGGTAAATCCTCTAAAGCATGATATCAGAATAAACCTTTTCTTCCTGTTATCACAACAAAATCCAATCATTATTAACAATGCTACTTAGCTTAGGAAAAGATCTACAACACAACTAAAATAGATAGCAATAACAATTTGAAAAATATCTAAGGACTTATATATGTAATCAGCTCATGAGAAGTCCATATTTCCTCAATGAACTGTATGTTAAGTGTTAAAGAATGGAGTTTATTTGTAAAACCTTTTTTTTTTTTTAAATTGGTACTGGGAAATAGCATAGCTGAAAAAGCATGGCTGGAGGATTATTCTCAAGTTTCTCAACATTTAACCTTGACTTTTGACAGTTTTAATTAATGAAATTCTGTAGTTGCATTGAGTTTTTAGACTTTCAGATACACCACTGATATTACTTATCGGGAAACCTTTCTTTCCATTTGGCTCTCCTTACAGATTCCCTAGTATCCAATGCGTAACAACACAGAATAAAGAAAATAAGAACAGAAACAACTTGATCTGTACAATTATAAGAAGAATTTGTGTGCAGACAACCTATTAAGCATTATTTTTCCCCCTGCAGAACTACTTTTTGAAAAACCCTGTTACAGCAAGCTTACCTGCTGTAACTTCTGCCTCTCAGAATTTAGCTTAATGCATCGCTAGAAGCCTGAAAATAAGATTTTCCCATAGCAATTTTATTTAATATTTTGCTTGGTAAAGAAATCTGCCAAATTATCTCATCTGTCTTATTTTCTTTTCCTTACTGATAGTCATAGTCAATGCCAGGTCACTGAAAATCTCTCTGCTGAATTAACCGAATATGTATCTAATCACCTTAAAACAAAACAAAGAAAAACCCCAAACCTAACAGACCAAAAAAAATTAAGGTCCACTGCTTTGCCTTTTTTCATATGCAAAGAGTGAATAAGATTATCTGATATCCAGAAAAACGTTTCATATTGGACTATGAACACATCAATTATAATTTAGAAAAATCTGCATTCCTTTTTAAAAAAAGGAAATAGCCTACTACCTTACTTGCCAATATTTAAAGCAATTCATTTCTATGTATTAAAAATGCTAAGATTTCTTACCGGTGCCGAGTTATTAAGAAGGTAATACCATTAGTCTTAATGTTCCAGTGAGAGTAAATGCAAACGCAAGCAGAATTCAAGAACACGTATTAATAACACTAAAGAATCTAAAAGATACTTAGAAGCTGGTAGAAAGTTTCAACTGCAGAACAGTGCCTGAAACTGTGGCAGTAGCTCTTACTGCAAAGTACTGCTAAATTCATGTGTAAGGAGATCAGATCCTTTTCTAACATGAACAACAGTTGAAGGTAACATATGTAAGGATAAATACATATGTATTTTTTTGGTCATTTATAGGATAGGAAACGTTGAATTCAAGGAAAAAGAAAAAAAAACCTTGACAGTCATTAAATCTGTTAATACCCTTTATCTGACAAAAATCAGAAACCAAGAAACATAATATACTTTAAAATACTCTTTCTACTCTCTGGCTGAGAGAGATCTACAGACCCTGTATCTTCCGTTGTTTTTTCCAAATTGGAATATAATCCCTGAAAACAGTTGACATGAATTTTCTGTACCTTGTTTCTAAATAAAAAAAAAATGCTAGTATAGTATCACTCAGATTTTAAGTTAAGAATCTATGTTTTAAAACTGGAAATAAAACACTAATATCAGTGTGAAAGTATTACATGTCATTTAAAATTCCTCATTTCCGTAATACAGACCTTCTTAAATAGAAACAGCTTTTAAATTTAAGTTTTGTTATAATTAAGGTCCCATGAAACTGCTTATGTGAAACCGGCAAGCAAAAGATAGGAAGGCAGGATACAATTTTAAGTTGAAAAGGGATAAATGAAGTACGCCATAACATGGGTCACTAATTTCACTATTGAGTTGAACAGTAAACTGTTCAGATGGTTATATGATTATGTTTTGGTTGGAAAAAAAATTGCTTACTCTTAATAAATAATCTTGAAGTATTTAAACAAATGCTGACTTTAACAGAACCACTGATATCTTACTCCACTGATACTTAAACTCCTTTGATGAAAATATAGACAAAAAATGTAGATATGAAAGACAGAATTTTTACATGGTATTTACTAACCTTCTTGGATGAAGAACAAAATCCTTAAATGTATATGGTCTCTCCATACTGGGATTTTCTGTCTGGAATAAGATAGTTTTTAAAAAAAAATTTTCCCCCTTAAGAGAAGACTGTACTACCAAACATTTGCATCAAAAAAATTAGAGATTTTAAATCAGTTTTATTTGAAATCAGTTTTCTTTGAAGTCTATAGAACTTTTTTAAATTATAGGTTTCTGCACAATAATAACAATAAGATACCAGCTTTAAGTTTAGTAATAAAGCTAACTCCTACGTCCAAGGAAAAAAAATTACTTTTCATTCTATACATTACAGTTTCTAAAGCGCAGAAAATGAAGACTGCTTAGCCTGTAATCAAGAAACAGTTTCTCAGTTTTCATGTTTACAAAATTTTACCATAACTCTTTCCTCCCTCAGTATTTTTCAAATATATTTATATAGAACAGATATAAAAACTTGTTTCTAGCTTTAGGGCCAAAAATCCCAGAAAAGCAAGGAATTCCTTCTGAGAACAGGTATGGCTCTGTGCTCTTATGCACAGAAGTGAAGCTGAACGACAAAAAGAAACACAGCAGTAAACAGACATCATTTATAAATATATATCCCAGATGCAAATACAGAAACGTGGCAAAAGAATTCTTTAAATATACATAAAGTATCTTTTTTTTTTTTTAAAAAAAAAAGATATTTAGTTTCCTGGCTTATATATGTAATTATTGCACCTGATATCTGTTCTGCAAGTCTTACAAAAATATTTAATTTTTACAATACTGTATGTTTAGAAACATTTGTAAATCTTGATTGACAGTTTTATGTCAAAATAGATTTTTCTTTTTCAGCTGTTTGTAAATTCAGAACCCTTCTTAATTAATACACTTTAACGATTCAGAAAGCAGTGTATAATATGAGGAAAAATTCGCATTTGATATATTTTTAGGCCTTTTAATTTAGAAAACGTTACAGGAAACGTTATCCTTTGATGGCTGAGCTAATTCCATAATATTATTTTCAAAACATATCTGTTCTGTGTCAAGATTTTTGATTAAAAAGAAAAAAAACAGTATCTGAGGGGAGTCTAACTTATTAAATTAGTCTGCAATTTTATTTGGAACTGTTAGGCCTTTTATGATAAACTCTAAGACATCATGAAACAGAAAATTAAGCCAACTAAATTTTACTGCACTGCACTGAATTTCAGAAAGAAAAATGCACTCCTTTATTTCAGGCTTTTCAGAGTAAGTTCTTATCAATACAATTTAGAAATATTACACTCCAGTTGAAACATTCAGCCTTCAATGAAATAAAATGCAGATCTTCAGTCCCATAGCAGTAACGAACGTGTCAGACTGAAGTACCTGCAAAATTAGGTTCTACATTTGTAAGATATATTTAGAACTCTGAAGATAAAGGCTAGGATAAAGTTGCCTTAGATTCAGTGCCAGATTAGTCTTGGACTAATATATTTTGTTTTTGGAAAGACTGGACAAATATTTGTTAACTATCTTACCTTACAGATTATTTATCCTTTTCACATATTCCTGATTACCAGCTCTTTTTAGTTATGAACAGTTTGTGTTTGCATAACGAAGCGAAATGAGACATGGACCAAAGCTGGCTATGCCACGAGGGGCATTTCCACCAGTCTTTCCAACCAACCTGACCAAGGAAGAGGCGCTAGTGGGACAGCTCACACCCCAGTTACAGCAGGAAACGTAAAACATGCCATCACTATTCCTAGCACAGATCTTCTCAGAATGAAACAGCAGAACAACTGCTCTTGGAAAGGTTTTGCCATAGTAGTTTTCTGATCTTTAAAATAGCTGCTGCTACACCTGTTAGTATTCTCTAATGTTTTGAGAGCTCAGAAGAAAAGAAAAAAAACTTACTTATTTTAATGTTCTTGGTGACCTTCCTTTAAAAACTAACATCATGCCTCGCAGAATGAGTACAACAACAAAACTAAAAAACGTACACAGCAATACTGGTTCCGTTTCCCTATTTACACTTTTCTGTATTTGTTTATGGGAGAAAGGATATTAGAAGTAAGTTTGGTTAACTGTTTTAAACAACTAAAAGACTTCTAAAAAAGTGTGTTAAGAAATATGACAATAATTACAATCTCTTTTTGTCTTTAAGACTATTTCAAACCTTATATTTTTTCCTCTTGAAGAAGC